TGTATGACTATTCCTACTTCATGGTTTTTCACTCATCACGGGGCTTCGGGGTATGGATCCCCTGCAATAAACGAGGGACTACTGTAAAGCCAGAGAAAAACTTAGAACTGAACTGTTAATAAGAACATTTTACAGCTGGAGGGGATTTTTTATGAACTTGCTTAATACTGTGAAGAATGGGAATAAAAAAAAAAGAAATAGGAAGAGCAACAATAACATCATTATGCAGATAATAGATTACACTGACAATCTAATGTTTGTTTTTTCAGCTGTAGCAGAAGCAGCCATGGGTGAAACCCAAACCTTTTACACCGAAGCTACACCAGAGCAGCTGGAGCAGCTTCAGCAGCAGGGCATCCACTATGACGTCATTACTTTCACCAATGAGTAGAGATACACATGGAGCCGAAGGGGACAAACAGAAACGACTCTGACCTCATCTTATTTATGCACCCGTTAAAAGAAAAGCCTTAACTTCTCTGCTGCATCCTCTGCCCGAGGCAGCTGCAAAACATCAGCAGCTTGTTACAAATCCACTTTATTGCACCTGTTTCTTCTATCTCATTCAATAGGGGCTGTGCATTTCTGAGTTAACAGGAAGATTTGCTCGACTGTCATTTCTGAGTCTGTGTTTACGTGCCTGAACTGCTTTGACTTGCAAGACAATGTTGTAGAGGAAGTGGCGTCAAATACGAGGTTTTAGAAAGTGACAAATCCTTTAGGTTTAGAGTAATTTGAAATAAAAAGGGAGGTTTTTTTTCTTTTTATCTGTAATAAGTTATGTTAATTGTTTGAATGTTACATCTTTGTTAAATATAAATGTACATATATTTTTTGTTGTAATAAAGAAAATAAGGTTTGATTTATTAAGTAAAAAAATGATCAAAAGTTAAAAGCTAAAACCAAATAAAACACTTTGAGTATAAAAGTTTGTTTTTCTTAGCGTTCTCTGATTCCTTTAGATATTAGATAAAAAGTTCTGCAGCTACTTTGATTACATGAGATGTTCGGACATTTCATTTAATAGTTTGTTTTAATTCATTTTATTACCTGAGCAGGTTCATACGAAGAGACAAACTTGTAAAAAATGTAATAAAAACTAACACAAGTGAAATGGTTTCACTCCGCATCCATTTTCAGTTTAACTAGTAAACCCATTTCCAAAAACCAAGGATTGTAAAATCACTTTAAAAATAATTATTACCTTAATATAAGTCCAACTATTAAGAAAATGATTCATAAATAATGTTCTGCACAATCAGATGCAATAGTACAAGATGCCATGCTCAAAGTACCGTATGTGGTAAATGATTCTTAATTGCTATCACATAATTTATTTTAGCTCAATACCTGTTAAATTTACTTCGCTGTAGCCACTTTATGTATTTTCTATTTGGCTGTAGTGGCCATCTTGGATTGATTTGGCCCCAAAGGTGAATCAGTTGTAGATGAACCTCTGGTTATTATCGCCTGAATGTTTTATTAAATTCCATCCAGATATTCAGGAAATATTTTGCTAACAGATTTGACTTTAAATAGTGAATTGGCAATTTTTAAAGCAAAGTTCTTGCACTCAGAATACAACATGTGCTGAGGCTCAGTCTCAGCTACTACCACACTAAATGTTTGGCAACAGCCAGACACACACACACATTTTCATCTGACTTCCTGTCAGCAGCAGGTAAAAAGGGTAGCATCCTGTACACTATACAGAACATTTTAAAGACCTTAATTATTATGTTCTGTGCAGTTTTGAACCCAATGTGAAGACAGGACTCAGGAAACTCAGGAATAAAATAAAGAATAATATTTATTTAGATAAAAAGGCTGACGTGGCAGCAAAATTTACGTGTGGCATGAACAAGAGACATAGAGGAAAACAGCATGAGGTCTTGGAAGGACAGAGGAGCTGGCAACATGAGGGACAAAACACTGAGAAGACACTAAACACAGATTCTGACCTTAATTTTGCAAAGCATGATGTTAAATGATGAAATTAATATTTTGTTTTGCACTTTTGGAACATGATACACTAATAGGAACTCTTCAGAAAGAGCATTTACCAAAGAAATGTGAAGACTGGAGCAGAAACAGATAAAAGTTGCATACGAAATTATATATGTATATATATATATATATATATATATATATATATATATAT